GTGTGTGTGTGTGTGTGTGTGTGTATATATATATATACACATATATATTTATATACATATATGTGTGTATATATATGTGTATATATGTATGGAGTTTGTATTATGACATCATATTATGTCATGACATATATGTCATGCTATATATCGTAATATTTCATGTTGTTTCTGTTCCTGTAGAAACACTATTCTAGAGTCCTTTTTCAAATTTCTCAATTCTTCAAACTTCATTTATATTATAAACATAAGTCACAAAAAATTGTCAATAAAATTATTTTTATGTTTTGTTACCTGACAGCTTTATAGTTCTTTCAAATTTCTTGAAACGAAGAATTAGGAACAACAAGAATTTTACAGAAATTTTTAACGTGTTCATTATACTTATTTACATTCCACTATCTGAGAAAAATACCAAAAATATCTATTGAACTCAGAAAATGACTAGTACATATAACTTATACACATTCACATAAAAACATTTTAAACTTTTCTTTTTAAATTTAATTTTAAGCTCCAACATACATGTGAAGCATGTGCAGATTTATTATACAGGTAAACATACATTATGAACATTTGCAGCACCTATCAACCAATTACCTAGGTATTATGCCCAGCATGCATTAGCTATTTATTCTGATGTTCTCCCTCCCCCTACCCTACTGTGACAGGCCCAATTGTGTGTTGTTCCCACCCTGTGTCCACATGTTCTCTTTTTTCAGCTCCCACTTATAAGCGAGAGCATGTGGTGTTTGTTTTTTTTTGTTCCAGTGTTACTTTGATAAGGATAATGGTTTCCAGCTTTATCCATGTCCCTGCAAAGGACTTGATCTCATTCCTTTTTATGGTTACAGAGTATTCCACAGTGTATATGTACCCCATTTTCTTTATCCTGTTTATCATTGATGGGGATTTGGGTTGATTCCATGTTTTTGCTATTAAGAATAGTGGTGTAATAAACATACACATTCATGTAACTTTATAAAATAATAATTTATATAACTTTATATATATATATCCAGTAATGATACTGCTGGGTCCAAGAGTATTTCTGGTTCTAGGTCATTGAGGAATCATCATGTTGTCTTCCACAATGGTTGAACTAATTTACACTCTCACCAACAGTGTAAAAGTGCTGCTGTTTCTCCATAGCCTCACCTGCATCTGTTGTTTCTTGACTTTTTAATAATCACCATTCTGACTGGCGAGAGATGGTATCTCATTGTGGTTTTGATTTCCATTTCTCCAATGATCAGTAATGTTGAGCTTGTTTTCATATGTTGTTGGCTACATAAATGTCTTCTTTTAAGAAGTGTCTATTTATTTCCACAGTTTTTAATGTTTGTTTATTTTTTCTTTTCTCCTGTGAACTTGTTTAAGTTCCCTGTAGTTTCTGGATATTAGACTTTCGTCAGATAGATAGATTGCAAAATTTCCTCCTATTCTGTGGGTTGTCTCTTCACTTTTCTTCAAAATAAATAGCTGCTTTTGCTCTGCAGAAGCTCTCTAGTTTTCCATATGTTCATTTTTGCTTTTGTTACAATCGCTTTTGACATTATTATTATTAAATCTTTGCCCATGCCTATATCTTGAATGGTATTGTGTAGATTTTCTTCCAGGGTTCTCATAGTTTGGGGTTTTATATTTAAATCTTTAATCCATCCTGAGTTAATTTTTGTATAAGGTGTAAGGAAGGGGTCCAGTTTCAGTTTTCTGCATATACCTAGCCAGTTTTCCCAGTACCATTTATTAAATAGGGAATCCTTTTCCCATTGCTTGTTTTTGTCAGTTTTTCAAAGATCAGATGGTTGTAGATGTATGGTATTATTTCTGAGATCTCTATTCTGTTCTGTTGTTCGATGTGTCTGTTTTTGTACCAGTACCATGCAGTTCTGTTTACTGTAGCCTTGTATTATAGTTTGATGTCAGATAGTATGATGCCTTCAGCTTTGTTCTTTTTGCTGAGGATTGTCTTGCCTATATAACTCTTCTTGGTTCCATATGAATTAAAAAATGTTTATTTCTAATGCTGTGAAGAATGTCAATGGTAGGTTAATGGGAATACCATTGAATCTATAAATTACTTTGGGGAGTATGGCCGTTTTCACAATGTTGATTCTTCCTATCTGTGAGTGTGAAATGTTTTTCCATTTGTCTGTGTCCTCTCTGATTTCCTTGAGCAGTGGTTTTAGCTCCCCTCGAAGAGGTTCTTCACTTTTCTTGTTAGCTGTATTTCTAGATATGTTATTCTCTTTGTGGCAATTATGAATGAGAGTTCATTCATGATTTGGCTCTCTGCTTGTCTATTGTTGGTGTATAAGAATGCTTGTGGTTTTTGCTTATTGCTGTTTTATCCTAAGACCTTGCTGAAGTTGTTTATCAGCTTATGAAATTTTGGGGCTGAGACTATGAAGTTTTCTATATAAAGGATCATCCCAACTGCAAACAGAGACAGTTTGATTTCCTCTCTTTCTATTCAAATACCTTTTTTAATTTCTCCTGCCTGATTGTCCTGGATAGAGCTTCCAATACTATGGTGAGATGGTGAGATGGCATCCTTGTCTTATGCCGGTTTTCAAGGGAAATGCTTCCAAGTTTTTCACATTCAGTATGATATTGGCAGTGGGTTTGTCATAAATGGCTCTTATTACTTTTATTTAAAACATTTTAAACAATATGCTCAGAAACAATATTGAAATTTAATTGAAATACTGTATTTATACCCTTTCCCTGTTTAAAATAAAATGTTTTGATAAAATGTTTATTATATGCCATGTCTTAAATGTATTTTTGTTAATCATTGAAACTCCAGTTTCAGCTTTTCAAGTCTTCTACACTTGCAACTCCAAAACTAGGCCTTGAATGTGCTGCATCAGAATCACCTGAGAGCTGGTTAGAAATATAAAATCTCAGGTTCTAGCTGAGATATACTAGAATCGAATTGAGGGACTATGTTAATGGGAAAAAAACTTGTCCTTCCAGGTCCACAAGGGGCATGGTTTCAAAGGCAAGAACTTCCCAGTGCCATGTGTCCATCCACTTCCCCATCCAGGAAGCTAGAGTTCTTTGTCTAACTTTCCTGCCTGCCTAGATAAAATTTCAAGTGTACTCCTTTGTTTATAAGAAGCCAGTGAAAAACTCTGGGAGGAAGGGTCTCTATTCTGGGCCAGACAGCAAATCCAGAATCAGAGTCCAAGATCAATCACTGCAGAGGAAGTTTGAAAAAACTCCTCTCACTGGACAAGAACATGAATGGGGCAGGAATAACTTCAAAGTTAAAACTCCACTGCAACTTACCTGTGCAGATTTCCCTCTCTGGATTCCCCTCCCACAACAGCATGGGAGCTCTCTCTACTTCTCTTTCTCTCTCTGCCTAGTAAATCGCTCTCCGCAAAACTCTTTGGGTTCAGTATTTACTTGATTGGCAAGCTCACTGTGCCACCAGGGCCTCTTCCCCATTTGTGGGAACCTCTGACACATCAGGAAAAGAATTGGATGGGGAGGGAGCTCAGTGTGTCCCCCTCCTGATCAGGGAATTGGAAGCCTCTTCTGGATGCCTCCATGCTCTCTGCTTTCCCCTGTGTCCCAGGACCCAGTTACAGAATTGCATTTAACAAGATTTACTGAAGCTTGAGAATAGGCTTAAAAGCAAGAACAAGGTGATGTTGATTTTTGGTGGCCATAGGCTCTTGGCCCCATGTAGTTTCCCTAAAAATTATTGACATAAGGCAGATTGATTAATAGAAGAAAAGTCATACAAATTTATTTAAAATATATGCATAGGAGTCTTCAGAATTAAGACTCAACTTCTCAGTAACTTACAGAAATTTATGTATCATCCTGAGGCAATTAAAGTATGCAGAATCAGAACATAGCCAGAAACAGGTAAATCAAGTTCAGTGGCAAGACAAGTTAATAGAGAAAGGAAGAAGCTGGGTAAGCCAGGTGGCCTTGTTATGTAGGTGAAATCTCCCTTAGAGAGAATAGATAATAAATGTTTCTTTTTAGACTTTAAAGGGCATCAAACTCTCAATCTTTCCTGGATCTAGGGAAAGAAATAAAAAGGGGAAGGGGGCATTTCTGCATTATTGGAGATTCTCTATAGATGCAATTTTTTTTTCCAGTTAAGAGAGTTTTGCAAGGCCATTTTGTCAAAATGGCCAAGTGTTAACCATTTCAAAACATGTCAAAGAAATATAGTTCAGAGTAAAATATTTTAATTTCCTTCATTCCCACTCTGAAACTTAAGCTTCACATATTAAAACCCAAGCTGTTAACTTTAGAGAAATTTGAATTAGAGGTTGCTACTGATAAAGATTTAGAAAGATAATTTAAGATAGAAAAAAGAGCAAATTTAAGCATATTGTCCTATATCTTCTTTAGTCATCTCTTAGAACTGAGAATAAATTAGTTCATTTATAAAACAATATCCCATTCCAGGACTTGGTATTGCAGATAGGCTAGGCCTCTATACATGACGTAAGGAATCAAATCTCTAGTATGAGGCATTTCTAAAGGAACAGAAAAAAATAGAACAAAGCAACAACAAAGGTTAACATCTGGAGTAGTAGGTATATAGACTAGCTTTTCTAGAATCTCTGAGTCATCTTCAAATTGCAGTGGCAATTTGACAGATTCGTCTGGATTCATGTTCAAACCAGGCATTCAGGTGAATTTTCTGAGACCTTCATACATTAGCAGGCAGGCACAAAGATTGTCTATATACATAAGTTGCTATATCATTTCCCAAAGTTTAAATTGTCTAGCAGGACTTTAAGAATAGCACAGTTTTAATTTCTAGTGATGTCAAGTCAGAAAAATGTGAGAAAAAAATTAAGATGTTAGTTTGGAGACTTATAGCTGGAAAAATATTCAGGATACATTTCATATTCAGGATTCAGTCCAAGAAAAGCATAAAAAAAGATAACAACGTAGATTCTAATAACAGGTATATCATAGTTTCTTTAGATACATAATGTTTTTGTCTCCAATGCTTCCATTAAAGACAAAACGATACTAAGATCAATTTATTTGGCAAATAAAGTCTAGTCCTTTATATGTGGACTGATTATTTGCATAAAGTGCAGAAAAAACAGTTTTTTGACATATCCTTTAAAAAACTGGTTTTGCTGGAACATGATTTTCTTTTCTTTTTTTTTTTTTTAAATAAGGAATCTCAAAATATACCTTTTAAAAGAGGTAAGCCCAAACAAAGATCTACTTGTGACTGCAGATGTTGGTATGAATTTGGTGAATTCTTTTCTTCTTGACATTGCAAGACAATTTGTGGTTCCTAGGCTTGTCAGAAATTGGCATTCTTTACATACCACTGACCAAAAATCCTATAAAAACAAGATAGAAGTACTGTTTACTAAGGAGATTTTACCAGCTCTATATATCAGCCTCAAGTCATCATGCAGTTGGCTTTTATCTGAAAGCATGCTATTCTAGTCAAAGCCTTGGTAAAATGACCAGTATCTCAATCTTTTTATTTTACAAAATAAAAAGATTCTTATTAAACTTATTCAAATAACTATTATGCTTTGAGTTAAGAATACTCACAAATAATTGCCAAATTTTATAGAAATCCAATAGAAATAAATATGCTTGAAAATTGCTCACGAGTATATTTTACTCAATTGTTAAAAGTTATAAATAGCTTAAAAGAAAAAGACAGTTTTCTTGACTCTGAAAAACAAAACAAAAAGAATCAACATTTTAAACAAAAACGTTATAAAAAGATTCTATATTTGTGAAAAGAGAAGAAAATTTGAGGCACCAGTTCACTGAGCCAAAAGGAAAAAGTTAAGCTGAATGCAGTCATGGAAGCAGCTTCCTTTCCTTTTGTTACTAAGCAAATAGCTACAGATAAAATGATAAATATTTCCGCAAGTAGCTACTCTATGTTCACTTCAGCTTGTAAAAAGTGCTGATGTACTGAGTGTGAGACAATACATAATTGACCATTCTTCTGCTTGATCCCCTTCTCTTGAAATGTGTAGATTCAGTAATGTGACCATACCTTGCATCCAACCCCTCCAACTCACTTCTCCCCTTTAAATACTGAAGCCCTCAAAATTATCTTTGGAGAAAAAGGCACAGATCTCTCTGGGCATGTGCTTAACGTTGGCAAAATTAACTTCTAAATTGACTGAGACCTGTCTCAGATACTTTTTGGTTTACAAATTGGCAACCAACAGAGGAGACCCTGGTGGAGGTAATCCTGACCTTTGACAAATCTTCTATTGTTTTTTGGTATCATCCTAAGCTATTTTTATTGATCAAATCAAGAGGAAAATTTGCCGAGACCTGGGAGCTCCCCTCTCTAGAGAATCCTGGGTTCCACAAATTTGTTTGAGATCTAAGATTTATTTTACTGTACAACACCTTTTCTAAAGTTTAACTTGATTCCAACAAGAAAGGAAAGTTTTCCCACTTCAGTGATGATGGAGAACAGGCAAACTCTTTTTGGAGTTTCAGCTAACTTCCAACGTGGAAGGTGAATTGGAATTTTTTCCTGTTTATAAGATGGTAGAGAGCTGTCTACAGTCTGGGCCCAATTCCTAGACAAGTAGCTGAATTGGGGACTTTTCTGGAAATTGTCTTTAATGACTAAAATTTAAGATTAAAAACCAGTTGGTCTTAACTTCTCCTTATCATTAGAGCTCTCAGTAATCATATAAATTGTAATTTTTTTTCTTAATTGTATTTTTGTATATTTGTTTGCTTTGTTGTTGTTTTTTGTTTTAGTCTTTTTTCAATTAAGTTTGAACAACTCTGACTTGATTAAATCTGAAATAAAGGTCCAAATAATGCAGAGCAAGGCCTCTGAATTGGCTAGATTCTCTCAGCCAGAAATAAATAAAATAAAATAGACAGAAAAATAGGGAAAAATGGCCAGTGAAAGGCCAAAAATGGAAAAAAAGATTGTGATGACCAAAGGGGCTTTATTTACTTTACAACCCTACCTATTCCTAGTCAAGCCAAATTGAAAGAGCAATAGAGTTTTGCCCATGCTGTATTCCGGTAGCTAAGACTCTGCCCTTTTTTCACCAAGACAGCCTTGGTTTGGTTCCTAAATCAAGTTATTTCTGGTTTGGTATTTGGGTTAATTTAAAAACAGTAGCAGTTTGTCACAGCTAAAATATACTAATAAAAGATTTAAAACGAGATATAAAATTTATATATCCTTTCATATTTTATTTATTTATTTTATTTTATTTTAATTTTTAAACAGAATCTTCTTCTGTTGCCCAGGCTAAAGTGAAATGGTGCGATCATGGCTGACTTACAACTTCTATCTCCCAGTTTCAAGCACTTCTCCTGCCCCAGCCTCCCAAGTAGTTGGGATTACAGATGCCCACCACCACATGGCTAATTTTTGTATTTTTAATAGAGATGGGGTTTCACCATGTTAGTCAGGCTGGTCTTGAACTACTGACCTCAGGTGATCCACCCACTTCGGCCTCTCAAAGTGCTGAGATTACAGGCATGAGCCGCTGTGCCCAGCCCTTAAAAGTCAATGGTAAAAGTAAGCCGATATCCTAGCTCTGTGTGTGCGTGTGTATTTAAAAAGGTCTTTATGCTTATTTCCTCTTTTAGGATCTTGTTTTTTAATTAGTTTCTTTTTCCCTCTGTTGACTAAATTCTGTTCTTTCCATTTTCTTCATCTTGTCTCTCCTTCTTGCCATTCTCTGCTGCATGAGAGGTCTAAAATAATTCTATTAGCCTGAGATTCCTTAAAGAAAAGAGAAGACAACAGACTCCTTTTTGGGGAAAAATCTATTTTTCCTTTTGTTATCCCAATGGTATAAATAGACAAGCTTCTCTCAGATTTAAACTGCTAGTTTTTGTACTACATTGCCTGATTTTTTGACTAAAATAGTTATTACAACAGGAGCTGCTCTTGGGTGTTTAATAAATGTCATGATATAGATACTTAGAGAATTGTCTTTATAACACAGTGCACACTGCATGGCCTAATTCTATGAGGTGTCTTTTTGGAGATCCAGGATTCAGTGTGGCATCTGCCCAGAGCTTAGAGGTCCAATTAAAATTAGAGAGTAAACTAAAACCTACAATTCTGAAAGAAGTTGGTCTTTACATAAAATCCTATGGTAGATTTCTATAATTTTATGTTTGACTTGGCATTCATTTTTAATCTCCCCCTAACATACCAGAATTTCTCTTCATACTTTGAGATGTAAATTTAGCTATCTGAATTTCAACTAAGAGTTGTTCAGTTAGTATGCAAATTTAGGGCTATCTAGCTGACAATAGCCCAGGGTAATGAAACAGGTTATCAAGATATTGAGTCTAAAATAGGAAAAATGCGGGGACTTATGAATCTATGAGATCTACTTTTACCTGTGTGTCTAAAATATCTATTTATTTATGTGCTTTGTATATGTCTAAGTACCAAAAATGTATTAAAAGATTATTTGGCTTAAAGAAAAAACACTTAAATACTTTTCAGAAAAATAGAGACTTAAGTGTATATAGCTTTTTCATATTCATATGACTTAAGTATATCTTTAACAAACAAGCTGATTTTATAATTTTTGGTAAAATAAAATTAAAAATGTCCTCAGATGTAAAACATACATTATTTTCAGATATATTGGTCAAGTAGTTTTATATTTATCTCTGCTAGATAATATAAGGTGTCAAAATTTGGCATGGGGATTATAAATCTATAAATGCAGCCCCAAAGATAATTATCCTTGTTTATATATGTTTTTAATAAATAAGGCCTCTAATATTGTGGATTTAATAAAAATAGCTAAATTCTGAGTTACTGGCAAAAAAAAAAAAAAAAAGAAAAAAACAAAAACATTTATTGAACCTGAAGTTCCTCCCTTAGGTAAACACCTGAAATTCACAGGCTATAAAAGTGGTTAACAGGAAAACAAATATCAATGATTCCTCTCACAGTTTTCATAGGTAATCTAGGTAAGCTATTAAAAAAAAACATTAATTAGGCAAATGTAATGAAATACATTCTGAATATAATTCTGTAATTTAGAATCTAAGGTTATATTAAATTATATATTATGTACTTATTAAATGTCTAAGTCATTTCCAATTTTTTTTAATTCATAAAGAAAAATTTTTTTTTTTTTTTTTACAATTCTAGAGCTTAGATGTTCAAAATAAATGTACCAGTTGATTTAGTGTTTGATCAGGGCTGCTCTCTGCTTCCAAGATGACACCTGTAACTTGTCATCACACAGCAGAAGATGAAAGGGCAAAAATGGCCTTAGTAGTTCCCTCATTTTTTTTTCCCATACTTTATGTTCTGAGTTACATGTACAGAATATGCATGTTTGTTACATCAGTATACCTGTGCCAAGGTGGCTTGCTATACCCATCAACCAGTCATCTACAGTAGGTATTTCTCCTAATGCTATCCCTCCCCTAGTCCCCCACCTCCCAATAGGCCCCAGTGTGTGATGTTCCCCTCCCTGTGTCATTGTGATATCATTGTTCACCTCTCACTTATGAGTGAGAACATGCAGTGTTTTGTTTTCTGTTGTTGTGTCAGTTTGCTGAGAATGATGGTTTCTAGGTTTATTCATGTCCCTGTAAAGGACATGATCTTATCTTTTTTTATGGCTGCATAGTATCCATGGTATGTATGTGCCACATTTTCTTTATCCAACCTGTCATTGATGGGCGTTTGGGTTGTTTCTAAGTCTTTGCTATTGTGAACAGTGCTGCAGTAAACATATGTGTGCATGTGTCTTTAGAGGAGAACTATTTATAATCCTTTGGGCATATACCCAGTAATGGGATTGCTGGGTCAAATGGTATTTCTATTTCTAGATCCTTGTGGAATCACAGCCCTGTCTTCCACAATGATTGAACTAATTTATACTCCCACCAACAGTATAAAAGCATTCCTATTTCTCTATATCCTCTCCAGCATCTGTTGTTTTCTGACTTTTTAATGAATACTTTTGAAATATTGTGTTTTTATTTAAGGAAAAATTGGCCAGGTATCATGGCTCATGCCTGTAATCCCAACATTTTGGGAGGCTGAGGAGGAACACATCACCTGAGTTCAGGATTTTGAGACCAACATGGTGAAACCCCATCTCTAATAAAAATACAGAAGTTACCCAGGTATAGTGACTTATACCTGTAGTCTCAGCTGCTAGGGAGGCTAAGGTAGAAGGATTGCTTGAACCTGGGAGGCAGAGGTTGCAGAGAGCTGAGATTGCACCACTGCCCTCCAGCCTGGATGACAGGGCAAAAAATATATATATTTCATTTAACTTGAAGGTCCTTTAAAAGGTTATTTCTAGAACAGTATAAGTGGAACCAGTAAATAAGAGACATGTAAAAACAAAGTTGTAAATGTAAAGTAGTTGGGGTAAGAATTTTAATAAGAAAAATTTTATATAAGGAAGAATCTTGTATGATAAACTTTTGTGCTAAAATAAAATTACTAATTATTTAGGAAAGAAGGAGACTTAGGATAAAATTGGCAGTCTAAGCATGTTATGAAAGATTTGTGTAAGTTGTAATGAGATTTGTAAATAGAGGATTCATGGGGGGAAAAAGACGTTATGTGGTCGAATTGGCTATAATTTAAGAAAAGTATTTATAATAGTTTAGAGATTGGGCTTTGACATTAAAAATACACCAACATACTAATGAATTGATAAGGAAAATAAAATTTCCTTAAGATTGATTTATCCTTAATAAATTTAAGAGATTTTAATTTTTTTAATCCAAATTTCATCTTTTATTGCATCTCACTGTTTTCAGCTGTCTCTCCCTTTTGAGAAGGTGTGAGATAATAGCTCTCTTTCAACTTTTTGGTTAGCTCCTGTAATTTTTTTTTCTCTCAATCTCTAAATCTTGTTGTGGCCTGGTGCTGAAAATATTTTATCTTAAAGGTTTAAAGGAAATGTTTTCTTCTTATGTAATATTCTGTGATCTTGAATTTAGATTGTTCTATAAAACTGAAAACTTTACTTGTAACCCAGGAGACAATCTTTCTATATCTAACTAATAAAAGTACCATTTTCATTAGCTTTGACCTGTAGATTATCTAAATGGACTGCCAACAGAGAAAAACAATAAAACTGGAGAATTTTATTTTTTTGACTTTTGGTAACTGGCCTAACAAACAGATTTTATGTTTTATCAAAATAATTTGTATGTCATTGCTATTAAGTTTTTATTTTCTTAGGAAGCCTGAGATAAAAACAGTTCTAAAATTAAGGTTATCACATCCATGTAACTTTCTTTATGGCTTTTAAAGTATTTATGCTGATTAGTTATAGGACTTTGACTCCTGGGTCTAAAAGAGACAAATCCTGCTAAATCTTAAGCATTGACAGCAGTTAAAGACTAACCTTTAGATCCATGTGAAAATGACAATCAAAATAAACTGCACCCATGAGACAGGAGGATAGAACTTAAAACTATTCCAACTCCTCTAGGGACAGGTACTATTGCAGAGGAGGTGGGCATATGAGATTGTAAGGAGTGATCTTGGGAGATAAACGTAGGGCAGAGTTTCTCCATAAATTAAACATTAACATCCAGGCACACTGATGCAAGACGAACATCTGGGTCCCTGTGTCAAATTGACAAGATTTTCTTGGAGCATCAACCCCCTTGTAAATAAGTAATTATAAAAGGTCAAAAAGTTTGCAGAACTTTAAATTTAACAGATTGTTTATAAGGTTTGGGAGACAGATTTAATTGTTCTTATGCTGTGTTTATTAAGGGTTATATTTTAGGAAATTAAGACTCCCATCAAAGAATAAAGGATTTTGCCTTTTGTTTGAATTCCTTGTTTTGCCACTTTGGCTAAATGAATAACGTTTTTTTTTTTTTTTAGCAATAACCTGTGATCCTATTTTGTGATGTCAAGTTTTTTGAACTTTTTATATTTGACAAAATTTCCCAAATCAAATTGTAAATTCAGTTCTTTTGACCACATTCTTTTTTTATTATTATTATTATTATTATTAAGTCCTCTGAAGTCCAAAAGAGACATTTTCAGTCTATTTGGCATTATAAAATCATACAGAAATATGATTTTGTCAAACATAAAAAATTGCTTAAGTTCTTTGTATTTGTAGTATGTGTTCCAAAATTGCATAATATTTCTATGATTCTGATGTGTCTTAGTATATGTTATCAGTAGTAATCATAATTATTATGTAAAATTGGTGTATGCTACTAGAATAACCAAATTTCCTTGTCAATGGTGTCCTTAACCATGACTGTTTGTAGCCTTTTATCATCCACAATTTTTATGTTACTTCTATCCTTTCATTGGGTGGTTTATAATCAGCTGTAAAACTTAAGGAGCATCCATAATATAGCCATACTCTCCTTCTTTCCCCTCCAGCTCACTTTCCACCTTTTATTGAAGTCCTCAAAATCATCCTTGAAGAAAGTCACAGGCCTATCTCCTGAACATGTCCTTAAGCTTAGCAAAATCAACTTCTCAATTGAGTCATTACTAGTGGCTCAGAAATATAGTGGGGAAATGGAGGGGGAAACTAAGAATGCCCTTTCTCAGATGCTTTTTGGTTTACATAGTATTCTAGTAGTTCAGTCCATGTAATTAACTCCTGTTTTGGCCAATATTGAGTTTACAATCATTATGAACACATCAGCTGTCCATGAGAGTCCTGGATGTTTTTCTCTCAATTTTAATGGCATAAGCTCGAGCGTTATCAGAAACCTTCATTGAAGATCTCCTTTATAAGTTATACAGCTGACTATAAACTATATTTTATTTTATTTCTACTTTTCAATTTTATCTTTTATGGGTACACAGTAGGTCATTATATTTATGTGCTGCGTGAGATATTTTGATTCAGACATCCAATGAGAAATAAGCACATCATTGAGAATGAGGTATTCAGTACCTCAAGCATTTATTTTTGAGTTAAAAACAATCCAGTCGTACTCTTTATGTTATTTTAAAATGTACAGTTAAGTTATTATTGACTATAGTTATTTTATTTTGCTCTCAAATAATAGGTCTTATTCATTCTAACTATTTTTGTATCTATTAATCATTCTTAGCTTCTCCCTTCCATTTCCCTACTACACTTCTGAACCACTAGTAATTACTGAATCTCATTATTTTTTACAGCTGAATAGTACTCCACTGAGTATATGTACTTCACTTGCTTTATTCATTCACCTGTTGATGGACATTGACTTTGTTTCTGAAACTTAGCTATTGTGAATAGTGCTGCAACAAACATAGGAGTGCAGAGATCTCTTTGATATAATCATTTCCTTTCTTATATCTATAATCCCAGTAGTGAGATTGCTCTATCTTATCGTAGCTAAATTTTTAGCTTTTAGAGAAGCCTCCAAACTGTTCTCCTTTGTGGTTGTACTTGTTTACAGTTCCATCAACAGTGTATGAGGATTCCCTTTTTTCCACATCTTCACCACCATTTGTTATTGCCTGTCCTTTGGATATAAAACATTTTAACTGGGGTGAGATGTTATCTCATTGTAGTTTTTATTTGTATTCTTTGATGACCAGTGATGTTGAACACCTTTTCATATGCTTATTTGCCACTATGTCTTCTGAGAAATTTCTAGTCAGATTTTTGCATAATTCTTGATTAAATTATTAAATTTTTCTTAGAGAGTTGTTTGAGTTTCTTATTTATTCTGGTTATTAGAACATTTGTCATCCATTCTCTGTGAAAAAGACTTTACCTACATAGCAAGGCCGTCTTTGCTAGCCCAGCTTCTTCCATTCTCTCTCTCTTAACATGTCTTCCCACTAAGCCTAATTGTTTCTGGCCATATTCATCGTTAGTCAGATGGGTAGTTTGCAAATATTTTCTTGTATTCTTTGGGTTGTCTCTTCACTTTATTTACTTTTTTTCTGTCCTGTGCAGAAGCTTTTCAACTTGACATAATCCCACTTGTCTATGTTTGCTTTGATTGCCTATACTTGTGGGGTCTTGCTAAGAATTTTTTGCCCAGACCAATGTCCTGAAGAGTTTTCCCAATGTTTTCTTTTAGTAGATTCATAGTTTGAAGTCTTGGCTTTAAGTCATTAATCCATTTTGATTTGAATTTTGTATATGATAAGTATGTAGATTCATTTTTCTGCATATGAATATCTAGTTTTCTCAGTAACATTTATTAAAGACACTGTCTTTTCCTCAGTGTATATTAGTGGAATCTTTGTTGAAAATGAATTCATTGCAACTGTGTGGGTTTGTTTCTGAGTTCTCTATTCTGTTTCCTTGGTCTTTGTCTTTGTTTTGGTACAAGTACAATGTTATTTTAGTGACTGTAGTTCTGTAGTATCATTGGAAGTTGGGTAATGAGATTCCTACAGTTCTGTTGTAAATTTTGTTTGTTTGCTTAGATAGCTTTGGCTATTGTGAGTCTTTTGTGATTCCATGTAAATTTTAACATTTTTTGTAGAGAGTGTGATTGCTTTTTTAATAGGGATTTCATTGCATATGTAGATTGCTTTAAGTAATGTGTTAGTCCATTCTCGCACTGCTAATAAAGACACACCCAAGACTGAGTAATTTATAAAGAAAAAAGTTTTAATTGACTCAGTTCAGCATGGCTGGGGAGGCGTCAGGAAATTTGTTTACAATCATGGTAGAAGTGGAAGAAACGTATCCTTCTTCACATGGTGGCAGCAAAGAGATGTTCTGAGCAGAATGGGGAAAAACTCCTTATAAAATCGTTAGATTTCATGAGAACTCACTATCATGAGAACAGCATGAGGGTAACATAATGATAAATGTTTCTTTTCAGACTTTAAAATATGTTAGACTTTCAATCTCCTCTGGATCTGAGGAAAGGCATAGAAAGGGGAAGAGGGCATTTCTGCATTAATGGAGATTATCTACATATACAATATTTTTTCACTTTAGACAGCTTTGCAAGGCCACTTCTGTCAGAATGGCCAAGTCACAGCCATTTCAAAATACGTCAAAATATTTTGAGAAATATATTTTAATTTTCTTTAATATGATGGTCTTTTGATTATTTTTGTGTACTAGTTGTATAGAGGAGCATGTCAAAACTGAGGCCACATGGAGATCACCTGATTTCTTTTAAATCTTGATGCCTGGTGTCTACCCACAGGGATTCTAATTTAATTAACATATGGGCTGTACTTGGCATTAGGATTTTTAAAAGATCCTCAGTTAATAATGATATGCAGCAATGTTTCAGAACTATGGAAAGTTTTATATTTATTAGCTTTCAAAAATACCCTTCCTATCTTCCTTTCTGCCTCCCTCCATTACTCTCTTTATCTCCTATTCTTTTTATTTCCAATTTTTTTTTAAAGTTTTAATGCTTTTTGTAAGGAAAGAAAAAATATATATTTACCTAATACATCCTCCATATGTTTGTTTATTCTTGGTAAAATATTTCCTCCAATACCTTATTATGTTTTCCAAAGTCTTGAATTATCTCTGACTCTCAGGGTTTAAATTTCAGCTTTACCTTTGATTATCTGTATAAAGAAGCCACAGAAACTGAAAGAAAATTGAATTTCAAGAGATTTTGAATCTGATGCATTCCAAAATAGAATAACATTTGAAAGTAAAATATACCCCATTTTATTAGTCAGGGTTCTCTACTCCTCCAGCAACACCCTCACAGAAGCACCCAGAAACAATACTTTACCTGTTATCTAGACATCCTTCACTTCAATCAAGTTGACACCTAATATTCACCATCACACCCATAAAAGGCATAGTAATTGGATACCAAAATGAGAAGGAAACCAAACCTCAGACAGGATAATATGTGTGCCACAATGTGGCTCAAGCCAAGAGAGAATTTTCTATTTATTCCCATTTCTCTTTTCCACCTTGCACTGACATTGTCAGTCTATTCTTTTGCCACTGAAGAACAGATATCAAACAGCACCGTGCCAGCACTGTCACAGGCATTTGAACTACAGTGGCTTAATCTTGAATAAGACTGAGTTAAACAAGGCTGAGACTTACTGGGCTGCATTCTCAGGAGATTAGACATTCTTAGTCACAGGATAATACAGATATAGGTCACAAAGACCTTGCTAAAGAAGCAGTTCGCCTTAAAGAAGCCAGCCCAAGCCACCCAAACCAAGATGGCAACTGAAGTGATCTCTGGTTGTCCTCACTGCTCATTATATGCTAATTATAATGCATTTGCATATTAAAAGACGCTCTTGCCAGCACGATGACAGTTTACAAATGCCATGGAAATGTCAAGAAGCTACCCTATGTGGTCTAAAGTGGGGAGAAATCCTGTTTCAGGTATTGCTCACCTCTTTTCTGAAAAACTCATGTAGCATATAATGAAGAAATAACAATAAGTATGCTCAGTTAAGCCCATGCCACTACTCTGCATATGGAGTAGTCATTCTTTATTCCTTTACTTTCTTAATAAGCTTTTTTCAATTTATTCTATGGATACCTCCTGAATTCTTTTTTGT